CCCCCCCCCGTCCCCGCCCCGCTCACAAGCTCTCTCAAAATAAATAAATAAAATCTTAAAAAAAATTCTCTTGGAACAGCACTGGTGTAGAAAAACAAGAACAAAGAGGTGGACATTTAATATAGAAAAGCTGAAACTCTATCAAATCAATGCAAAACTAGAAAAGAACCAATTTCAGATAGTGGACTGTGTAAGTGGTGAAATGGATGGGGAAATTCACTTAATTCTGAAGCGTTTATGAATGTCTTATTAGGCCATCTGTTTGTAAGAAGTGGTAATATGGCAGCTAATCAAAGGGTTATTAAAATGATAAAACGTTCTATCCCTCTGGTAGGTCAGGACACCCCAGTACAACCTTCACCTGCCTGCCTTACTCACCATTCAGCTCAGTCACGCCACTCAGGCTCACTGTTATAGCACAATTTTAAGAGCTTCCAGGACAAACACATTTTAGATAGTGCCACTGTGTTCCCTCACACTATTAAACATCTCATTTTACTAAATTAACATATTGTGTCCCCAATAATCTTGGTTAGAGATCATGCCTTTCCTCAGCTTACACACAAGGCTTCCATTATACTTCCATCATACTTGTTCAGCAACTATACAGGAAACCTTTATCCATCCAGTTCCTGTAGGATATGAGTGTACCTCGTACATGCACAAGTACAACAGAGCACTTACTTGTATAATTTAAAACCTTAGGTCTTTAAGAACAAGCATCTTATTTTGCTTCCTTTTCTATCACAGAGTGGAAGTGCTGGGTGTGTAACACTGCTCAAAAAATTTAGTTAACATGGGTTACTGCTATGGCAAAGCTGATTATCCATGTAAAACTGTCTTAAAAGCTTGGAGGCAACAGACATTTCCAATTCCAACCTGTCAATTCAGTGGTCACAGAAGTAAAGATAATTGGCAGTATCTACTTCAGAAAATAAGAGCTGCATTAGTCTTTCCACTTTAGCCAGATTTATAGCAGAGGGACCTACTGGTCCCATAGGCCCATACCACAGAAGGGAGTTATGTATAAAGGACATAACCATCTCTGTACAGCAACACAGTATGTGGGGGAGTGTAGTGGAGGATAGCATTAACTCACTCCCAAGTGGAACAAAAGAAAAATGAAATCAGCAACAGCACCAGTTAGTATGATTTAAGATCCCTTAAGTAGCTGAATATCTTTACCCTTAAGCCTTCCCCACTCTGCAAGGACTAACAGGTGACTTACGGTAGCACAATGTGGCCGTTACACCTGGCATGTAACACACATGCTTAAGTGATAAATCTTATTCACTAATCAAGAACTGTGAGCGAGCTCACATTCCTCCTCCCACCCCACCCCGAGTTAGGCGGCTAGGCTACAGAAATAGCAGTGAGAAACTCATAGCCCTGGTTACCAACAGACTTACTATTATAATAAGCAGGGAAAAGGGAAAAACTGGCAGCATCAGCACGGAGAAGGAATGAAACACTAAGGGGCAGCCTGTTTGAATATAGCACAGCTCACTCCTGGGAGTGTTTTATGCTTCTTCAATATCTGACTGTCCATATTGAATTATGTTCTCTTGCTGGTTATGGCTCTATTTTTCCCCAATAGTCACCTCCTCCTCCTCTCAACATGAAATAGCAAGCCACTGGCTCACCAGGAAAAATGACCTCAAATATTAAGCTACTAAAATCAGAATCCACTTGTCTGGTACAGCTGGGATGCCAATTCCAATGTCTGCTGTGTCATTTAACCCACAACTGGTGTTTCCTTAGTCTCTAGGACTTAACTATCAACATTTTCACTAGGGGAAGGTCCCTGGGCCTCTCAGAATTAAAAGACAATGGTTAGGGGCACCTGGGTGGCTCAGATGGTTAAGCATCTGCCTTCGGCTCAGGTCATGATCCCAGGGTCCTGGGATCAAGCCCCACGTCTGGCTCCTGGCTTGGCAGGGAGCCTGCTTCTCCCTCTCCCTCTGCCTCTCCCCCTGCTCATGCTCTCTATCTGTGTGTCTCAAATGAATAAATTTTTAAAAAAAATCTTTAAAAGATAATGGTTAATGAGATTTTCCCCAGCACTATTTGCTGCCCCCAGATTTTTAGAGTGCTGCCCTTCTGCCCCTGGGGCTAGAATGCTTTCACCAAGTGGCTTTTTTGCCCCTTCTGGACTCTTCAGTAGTAGAGCAGTATGTAGAAAAGCAGTGCCACCTTAGTTGCTCGTTGTTAGTTATGTTGATCCAGAAAAGGAGCCATATTCTAAGATGCTTGTGAGATCCTCTGGCACAAAGTAGCACAAGGCAACAAGAATAAATCCAGTAACAGCACAATAAAGAATTAACATTTACATGAACAGGCACCATTAAGAGATGAACTTGCTCATACTGTCGGACAGAAGGGTTTTTCCAGAAAAGTCACTACAGCATCAGAGAACTGTGCCACCACCAGAATACACTCATTCCAGAAATTTTAGAGTAAGTCAAAGTCAATGTGATCTATCAGATTTTATACTAAAAAGACAAAACTGCAATCAAGCAATTTTTTTAGTCGTAAGTTTGGACTCTATCATATCCTATAAAAGCTCTACTTTTGGGGGGTAAGGAGAATGGTGGCGATGCTCATAACTGATAAACCATTTCTTGTTGTAAAACACTGGAAAGCAGACAACAATGAATTAAAGTGAGAGTTTTCTCCTGAGCAAGAAAACGAAACATATTATTAGCATACAGTCTATCCTTTTAAGATGGTAAAGGCCATTCTGGGTATCTGTAGGCAGCTGATTTCACTCTGCGATTTTTCAAATGCTTAGTCAAACCTTCATAATTTTAGAACAGTTCAGCAACCACCTGGAATTAAGTATGTTTAAGTCTAAACCCCTCTAAAACAACCTGGGTATTGAAACTCAAATACAGGCTAAAAACTCATGATAGAGGTAAAAGTTATATATACTTTTCAAGAGCTTTGGTTAAAAGGAATAGCCCACTAATTTCTCTGCAACTCCAATCCAGGTTTTTTTTAAAAGGACTCTGGAGTTCATGGAAACTTTTCATTTGCTACTTTTTTTTTTAGCAGTTGAACAAATGTGGAAGGGACAAAACCAGAACATTAATGTCAGAAAGCAGCAGTATTTTTGATTCCTCTCCCCACTTCCCCACCTCAAAATACATACTAATGCAAGAGTAAGTAAACAAAAAAGAAAAAGCTCTAATTAGAAGTATGTGCAATTGACAATGTATGCTGAAGATTTCTTTTCCCATTTCTTAAAGTAATCAGTTTTTTAAAAAGACAATTCATAGCCTCCTTTAAGACACCTTCTGTAAAAAGGAGCACCTGGTTTCTGGTTCTTTCTGAGTCCACATAACGAAGTGGCTTGCTAGCAAAGCATACAAGATAAAAGTCTGAAAAGGTGGATACCACAGATTTGACCTAGAATCAAGTTTCCTCCCTGCCGTTCCAGGTATCTTCTTTCCACACTTGAGCATTAGCAGACAAGGATAGCAACAATGGTTACCTCCAAGATCACCAAATCCACCTTTCCAAAGGCACAAAATATATGTAGGAGTTAAAAAAAAACAACAACAACAAAAAACCTGATGGTATAGCTCAGTAGAGTACTCTTGTGTAAAGCATTAAAAGCATCAGCCTCTTTTATTTTGTGACAATTTTATTGAACAGTATTCAAGACTTCATCTTTATAAACAAAAACCTCTGCTGAATGATGCCACGGCAGTATTTGCTGGCAATGTTGTGGCCATATTGGCAATGAATCATTTTATTGTGTTTGGTTTCTAACGCTTGGACTACTATAGAACTGCCAGTAAAACTAAATGTGGTAATTTTGCAAGAGTGGGAAATAAGTTTTAAAAGTGATCACTGCTAGAAATTCTTTACAGATTTAACTAGCAGCAACTTTATGGTTTCTTTACTCATTAAGTGTTCTTGAAATTGATGAGTGGATTTATTTTTAAACATTTGACCCACACCTGTACACAATGACAGAATCCAATAAAAAGGACTTTGAGTTTGATTAAGGCTTTCATGGATCCTTATTTTATCCAAGGTATGTTTGCTTATGTCCATATACAGCCCTAGATTTTCATCCAGTGGGTTAAGACTGACCTAATTACACTGAACATTACTCTCTGAAATTTTGAATAAAAATTTCCCTAATGAAATTTTCACGGTTGATGCTTTGACAACTTGGAGCACAAAGCTAGGAACTACATTTCACTTAACAGTGTTGCTTTTTTTTTTTTAAGCCACTAATAATTGTACATCCAAACTACAGTATTAAACACAGAATACACCTCCAAATTTTGCTTGTGAACTAAATGTTTCACTGAAGTTCAGAAAAAGTTTACAAATTTGCTTATTTATAAAATACATTTCGTAGATATCTCTAATCCTTTGAACTAAAAAAATCCAAAAACACCCCAGCGGCAAGGGGGTGGGAGGAATTAAACCTAATGGAAAAGATTCTCTTCCATTCATGTCAGTCACCAAAGACAAAATTTACACATAAAATTGAAAATATCATGATAGTGTTTACAAATGCACACAACTTTGAGCAAAGCTTTACAAATCCTTCATACCATACAAAGCAAATGAGAAAATAAATTCATTTTCACCCCAAACCTAGTTTTTCTGAGAAAGTTTGCAGGAAGAGAGGTATGAGTAATTGCACAGAACATATTTTCAAGAATTTTTTTTAAACTCAAACTCCAATGCCCATAACAAGATGAACAGTACGCTTAGCAGTTAGCACTCTATTAATAAGTCTCAGATACACAAAAATCAAGTTCCAGAGGGCAAAGCATTTAATTACATTTCACAACGAGAGAAGCACTGTTGTGACTCAACCAAATATGAAACATAGTTCTCTCCAAATTCTACACAAACCACTATTTTCTTAATTTATTTAATTTGATGAACAATGAAATCAAGTTTTCCTTTTCAGCATTTATCTAAGATGTAGAAATAACAAAGTAGTTGCAATAAAGTATATGAAATATTTAATAAGATTGTACGAACATATAACCAAAATAAACTGTGAAAAAAGATAAAAGACTTTCATCTTCAAACAACCCATTTTTCTAAAATGAAAATAGTCAGCTCTCCAATGGGAAAATAATCTGCAGTTGAAATAAGACTCCCAAGCAGCGCTGAAGTTTTCTGCACTTGGTCTTTGGAATGAGAAATGATTACTTAACAGAAAACTTAATTGAACAGCATATATAAACTTCGTATTGCTTTTTTAGTTGAGGAGGCAATATCTAGTGATCTGTCAAAGCAAATTTGTATTCATGAATTGTCAAAAGACCCACAACACAGCCATGTCTTCTTTGAAAGTCTAAACAATCCTTTCCCTAAACAAAAAATCCTGTACTGTCAATCCTCTAAGATTGTAGTGATGAAAAGGCTTTCCAAATCTTATCACGCAATGAAACTGCTGCCACTCTTAACTCTAAATTACACGAGACGCTGTATTTCAGTGTTCCACTAACTTGCAACACCAAAAAGGCACTATTTTCTTTAATAGGAAATACTTCTTTTAAAAGGCTGACCCCTTTGTAAGTACATTGATTTGCAGGAAATGTTGGGGATATTTCAAACCAAGACAGAGGCCCATGTAAAAGACAAAATTTGTTTTTCATGATATCTCACCAATCTCCCATTCCGTATGTTTATAATATAATGTGACACATCTTTAGAGCATTTTAACTAAGAAGGAAAGTAACCATAAGTAGAGCCTTTTGTAGCAGTGAGCAGGATGTTGTAAGGCAAATGTTTTCATGACAAGGACACTTACCAACCAGAACCCATGTGGTCCTCCTGCCTTAGTGTCCTGAATACCAAAGAAGAGTATGAAAGGGCAAGGAGTCTCAATTCTCTCCCCTCTGGCAGCTGCACTTGTACTCTGTATGAAGAGTTTTTATGAACAGGCTCCTGATCAAACAACTAGACCAAAAAGCCTCCAAGTAACAGGATTAAATGCACATCTATGGAACAGCTTATGAATCTTTTATTCTATAACGCTACTGCTAACAAAGCTAACAATTTCAACTTCAGTTTTTAAAAAACCTAGATATAATGCTCTTTCTTATAAATGGACCCTCTTTGTTTAGTTACAGGCCAAAATTTCACACAAATTTGGGACAGAAGGAAACTGCCAGAACATTAGTCCATCATGGACAGGACTTCAAATCTGGCATCTTAAACAATGATTATTAGAAGTGGTTTCTGGTTTTCAATGCCATCTAAACAACATGAACAATTTTTAAACTGACTAAACTAAAACATGGCGGTCAAACCAAAAAGGCTCTGGTAGGTAGAGGACTCCATATTTTATTTTTCTGGCAAAAGTACTTATTTCACACAGTTTTAAGTGTGACATTAGAAATCAAAGTTCAAGGTTATAGGACAAACCAAGTGTGGAGTTTTATATTAAAACAACAACAACAACAACAAAACAGTTCTGCTCATTTACAAATGAGTCAATTAGGCAAACAAAAAAGCAGCAACTTCAGAAGCAGGACTGTCTATACAGCAAGAACCCTCAAGAAGCAATAAAGGTACATACAGTGAATCTGTATACAGAGATTTTATTCAATTTTAAAAGAAAATGAGGACTTTAGACAAAGCTTTGACCCTATAACAAAGCAAATCTGTCCAGCTTTAAACCAAATTCCAAGAGTAGCCAACTTCTATTTTTCAGCAGCTGGCAAGAGCACCCTTAATGAGCTCTATTGACATTTCTATTTTCTTCATCCCATATGGTATAAAACAAAACCAATCTAAACTCCTTGATAAGCTTTATGTGGTCATTTGTGTTTTACAAATGGTTTCTCTAATGGTACGCCAAAATCATTTTTGTGTTCTCTCCAGACAGCTTTACTGTAACATACAGCAGTATTTATCCTGGTAGTGAGTCTTCTGTAAACAGTCAACCAATGCTCTATGTTATAGAAACCAATCTATATGCAATTGAAACAATCCACAGGTTCTAACCTGGAAATACTAGGAAAACAATCTGGATGCATTAATCACAGCACTATGAAAATCTACCCTATAAAGAATTGATGTGAACAGCTACCCTAAGACAAGTTTTACTTTCCTTGAGCCTATAGGTCTGTCATTTAAGTCAATGACAGCAGCTGTGGCTTCATCCCGAGATTCGAAGGCCACCATGGCTTCGCCTGTGGGCATACCTTTTTCATTGTATTTTAAACACACTGAGCCTGGGATCACTTGATAGCCATAAAAGAAATCTAAAATCTCATCAATAGACACAGTGAAGGGCATATTCTGCACTTTAATTACTGTTGGTCCTGGTTTTCCAGAACTAGATCCAAAGCCAGGGGGACCACCAATGTGAATTGGGCCAGGGCCAGGCCCAGGGCCAGGCCCAAAGGCTGGTGGCCCACTCAAATGCCCAGGGGCACTTCCAAGACCAGGAGGGCCACTTCCAAAGCCAGGGGGGCCACCTAAACTACCAGGGCCATTTCCAAAATTCTGAGGGCCTCCTCCAAATCCTGGCCCACTTAAATTATTTGGTCCACCTCCAAAACCTGGAACATCCAGTCCTAGACCAGGCAAACCACTATTTCCAACTGAAGGCATACCAGGCCTAGCATCACCAAAGGCCCCTCCTAATCCTGGAGGAGGGAGTGGTGGCCCAAAGGCATTCGACCCACCAAAATTACCAGGAAAGTTAAATGGAGGCCCATTGCTGGCCTCCTTAGATCCTACAGTCAGGAAGGCATGCTCTTCACCTCCTGCACCGGGCACTCCCGCACCAGGCATTCCTGCACCGGGCATTCCCGCACCGGGCATTCCTGCACCGGGCATTCCCGCACCGGGCATTCCTGCACTGGGCATTCCCGCACTGGGCATTCCCACACTGGGCATTCCTGGAACTGGAGGATTACCTGGCACAGGCATCTTTAACCCTTTTTTTCCTTGGGCAGGGGGATTTTTTTCAATCTCTCTCATATCTTCTAGAGTAACTACATGAACAAAAGCTTCTCTCCCATTAAGTTTTTTACGGTGTAAGCGTTCAGACTTACGTGCATCATCTTCATTTTTAAACTGAACCAATGCCTGTCCTAGACCTTGCCCATTGTTATCAACAAGAACATGTACAGCATTTTCATCCACTGGGATTCCTTCTAGGAACTGAAGAACATCCATCTTGGTAATGCTGAATGGTATATTTGTTATGTGAGCACAGACTTTGGCAGAGCTGACATCCCCCTCCGGATTTAACATCATTTCCCTCTGGTCATAGCTGAAGTTCTGCAATCTTTTACGAATCATATCTATCTTTTCTAGCATACCTTTCTTAGTAATTGGATGAACTTGAATAAAGCGATTGCCCATGTACTGTTTATGACGACAGAGAGCAGCCTTATAGTCAGCCTCATTCCTGAATTCTACGAAGCCTTCACCAGTTGCTTTCCCATTGGGTCCATAAGCAATATAAATACTATCTTCCACAATATCCAACTTTTTAAAAAAATCAATGACATGTTTGTTTTCCGCTTCAAATGGTAGCCCTTTCAAGTAAACACAAAAACCAGCCTCATGTGGTGATCTTGACCTTGACCTTTTCTGCCCACTGGGCGATTTTGACCTGGGAAGTGTCTGAGGAGGGGGATGGGTTTGTCCAGAAGGTCCTATACTTTGCTTAAAAGTGATATGGCCTCCAGCAGCTACCCACTGTCTCTCTGTGGCAGGACTAACTTCCACATAGCGTTGAATCATCAGCATTCTGTTTCGTTTCAAAGCTTCAAATGTATCTTGAGGGGAGAGAAACTTAACCAATCCATTCCCATTATTTCGACCTACATGATCTTTCAACAAATGCACTGCATCAACACGGAGCCCATGGAAAAAATCCCTGACATCATTTTCCATTGCAGAAAAGGGCATTCCATGCACACTGACATACAGATCATCGGGGTTGATGGGAAGCGGTTTCACACTGCTTTGAGAGTTCATCTGGATAGGGTTAACAGGATTCAATGGACCCAGAAACACAGGGTTCAAGTTATTGTTCAGATTCATAGGTGCTCCAGAGCCATTCATTCCAGCAGGTAGAGGTGCCACAGGTGGCGGGTTCAAGGGTGGCATGCCAGACATGGGTGGCAGTGGGGTCATAGGTGGCACAGAAGGGACTGGGGGAATAGGGGGCACAGGAGGCACGGGAGGCAATGTAGGTACCGGAGGAGGAACTGGTATTGGAGGAATGGACGGCATTGGTGGCAAAGATGGCATCGCTGGGATTGGAGGAATTGGTGGTGGTGGGACTGTGTTCATTGGAGACGCTGTGCTCGGAATGGTTGAGCTAAACGTTGGGCTCCCAAATGAAGCCCCCATATTTGGAGGAGCCGTTCCTATGCTGGCTGTGGAAAATGTCTGTATGTTTTTGTTGCTTTCATGAACAGATGTGGCGGCAGTAACTACACTGGGTGAAGGATTATTAAAGTTAGGTACTGTTGTAGGCAAGTTTACCCTGCCACTCATTCCTGAGCTAGGTGGCGGTCCTGATCTACTAGCATTTGCTGGTGGTATATCTAAGTTGGCAGTTTCAAAACGCCTACGACTCAGTTCAATCATATTCTGCATTTCCGTTTTACTACTCAACAAAAGTGTTACTTTTGACCCTTTAATTGTACCACCTGTGCGCATCATACCAAGCCTTGCATCTTCATCAGTGGCAAAAACGATGAAAGCCTCACCCAGTTCACCCCCTACAATATGCACGCCCCCATCAGGGATGGTCAATCCAGAGAAGAAGTGGCGAATGTCCATGGTCCCCGCCACAATTGGGAGACCTTGCAAACGGATGACCACAGCCATGCTGCGCTGAAACCACACACACCTGCAGATGAGAAAAGGCAACGGCCAGGTCAGACTCCTGTTTATCACACCAAGTTTTTAACTACAAGAATGACCAGCTACCATATTAGGCCCTCAAATATACCCTCAAACTATCACAAGCAATGCAGGTTTTTTTTTTATTTGAATATCCTAAAAACTGAACATTATGTGCCATTTACAATGTAAAACCTAGACAATTTCAACTTCCAAAAGGCATTAATTCTGTAAACAATTAGAAGTTCAGTCCCATGACTCAAAAGTTTCAGGGAAAAAAAACCACCATAAGAAGTAGAATCACCAATTACATCATTCAGACCACTAATTATTCAGTAAGATTTAAAAGAAATGTGTAAGTCAAATCAGGACACAAAGTTGGACAATCTGCAGGGGAAAAACATGCAAAGGATGTATCAAAGTTAGTATTTAAAAGTGGCTTAGCATTTTCCTTATAAACATGACAACTTTGTAGAATTATCAGTGTCATTTTATATGACTCAATCTCAAAATGCAAAAAAGAAACAGAAAACTGGAATACTAATGAATTACAAATAATACTTAACACTAAAGTAGACTCAAGTCTCAAAAGAGAATGGACTCCATATTCAACTTAAAACTCTTCAATCTGCATTACAGCTCTATTTATTAAAGAAAACTATATATGGAATTATTTATTACAGACAAGGTTAATACATACAAAGAATCCGAAAGAAATACTGAATAAAATAGCCAAAATCTTAGTTATCCATATTCATCACGCCAAAAAGTAGAACCTGGTTGCAATGCCATTCACCATAGCTGTTTTAATTAAAACTCAGATCCAATGACTTATTTCCAAACTCACCATTAAAAAAAGAAACAACACACACATACACACTCAAAAAAGTCTCGTTTTTCCCAAAGAAGGCTGATAACGAAAAAAGGATATTTTTTGGTTTTGCTTTTGTTTTAAAAAGAACAAGGGTATGAACTTTATTCAGTGACTGTTACAGTCTTTACTCAACATAACTCCTGTGGTATTTCTGGGAGCTCACTGGTCTCCTTAAATAAAGTCCCATTCTGAACTTTTTCTTTTTGAGAAGTTTCTCCCAGATTTAAATAAAATTTCAGTATTTCAGTTCTTATGGCTTCCAAGAGCAAATGCAAGGGAAGCCCTTTGTAAAGTGATATAAAACAAATTCTTGGGACTGGAAAAAATATTAATTTGAAATTTATGTGATCAACAACATGGGGTGTTTTCCAAGCCATCTTAAAAATCAACTTTTAGGGACGCCTGGGTGGCTCAGTCAGTTAAGCGGCTGCCTTTGGCTCAGGTCATGATCCCAGGCTCCTGGGACAGAGTCCTGCATTGAGCTCCTTGCTCAGCAGGGAGGCCTGCTTCTCCCTCTGCCTGCCGCTCTCCCTGCTTGTGCTCTCTCTCTCTCTGACAAATAAAATTTAAAAAAAAAAAAAAATCAACTTTTAAATATAAACCTCTTAAACCAGTTCTGTGACCTCAGAAAAATTATAAATGATTTGAGCTTTGGTTTTATCACTTCCCAAACAGGAACATTAAAAGAGCTACTGCAGGGCGCCTGGGTGGCTCAGTCGTTAAGCGTCTGCCTTCGGCTCAGGTCATGATCCCAGTGTCCTGGGATCGAGTCCCACATCGGGCTCCCTGCTC